TGTATCATGATCTTCGTCGCCAGTATTACTGGAGTGGAATGAAGAGGCAGGTTGGCGATTTTGTCAGTCGATGTCTCACGTGTCAGCAGTTTAAGGCTGAACACCAGAGACCAGCGGGATTACTCCAGCCTTTGGAGGTAGCTGAGTGGAAGTGGGAGCATATCACGATGGATTTGTTGTGACCCATTTGCCACGGACATCGCGGGGTCATGACGCGGTGTGGGTGATAGTGGACCGGCTTACTAAGTCGGCACCTAACTTTTTGGCTGTGCGGGATGACCTTCACTTGGAGGAATTCTGCAGGTTGTATATAACGGGAGATTGTCCGGCTGCATGGAGTACCTGTATCTATTGTATCGGACCGGGATCCCAGGTTTACAGGCTCATTTTTGGGAGAGTTTTCCAGCGAGCCATGGGGACACAATTAATGATGAGCACTGCTTTTCATCCCCAGACAGACGGTCAGTCTGAGAGGACTATCCAGACTTTAGAGGACATGCTACGGCATGCGTCCTAGATCTTAAGGGTAGCTGGGAAGATCACTTATCCTTGGTGGAGTTTGCATACAATAACAGTTACCAGGCCGAGCATAGAGATGGCACCCTATGAGGCACTATATGGGAGGCCATGTCGTTCTCCCGGTTTGTTGGACGAGGTAGGAGGAGGTCTTCTACGGGTCCGGAATTGATCAGAGACACCTCGGAGAAGGTGGACTTGATTCGGAAAGCGTCTTCTCACAGCTCAAAAGCCGGCAAAAGAGTTATGCTATCGATACGGCGGCGACCTCTAGAGTTTGAGGTGGGAGATCATGTCTTCTTGAAGGTTATGCCTAAGAGAGGAGTGGTCCGGTTTGGTAAGCGGGGGAAGCTGTCACCAGGAGATACATCGGGCCCTTCGAGGTACTTGAGAGAGTGGGTACAGTTGCTTACCGGTTGGCATTACCAGCCAAATCTATCGGTGTTCATGCAGTATTCCATGTCTCTATGCTTCGGAAGTACACCACCACATCCGACTCATGTGGTGGATTGGGAGAGAGCTTGTTGTTGATGCTGATGGGACTTTCGAGGAGGGACCGGTGCGCATCATGGATAGCCGGGAACAGGTTTTGCGAGGCCAAACCGTGCGGCTAGTGAAGGTGCTGTGGCAGCATCGAGGAGTAGAGGAGGCAACATGGGAGCGCGAGGACACTGTCTCCGTACTAGTTATCCTTTCTTGTTCGAGGATGGAGGTATATTCTTCTGTCATTTAGCATTAATTGACTTTTGCATATGCATGTGATTGTATGTGCATGTGTATGTGAATTTCCGGGGACGAAATTCTTTTAAGGGAGGAAGAATGTGAAACCCGGAAAAATTTTAACTTTTTCTGAAAAAAAATGAAAATGGTAATTTGCCATTATAGTGTGTTAAAAAAAAACTGGTATTTTTATAGACCTCAGATGATGAAACGGACTCACCGTTGGATTCGTCTCACGAAATCTAGTTACCCAGACAAATTTCGTCGAATTCTGAGATAGTCAGATTTTCACGTTTTTCGAGGTGACGGGTGTTCGATGACCCCTAAAAACGAAATTTTTATAAAAATTTGAAAATTTAAAAAATATTTTAAATAAAGTTCATATAAATATTTTGAGTTTAAATCGGTACGAAATTTAATCGTTTCGGGATGAAAACGGACCCGGACAAAGGATGACACTTGGCGCGACGAGGGCCAAGTGTTTAGAAGGTATAAAAGTGAGCAAATCAGATATTTGCTCTTCATTTCTTCATTTGCTGCCGGCTGGATCAAAACAAAGAGCTAAGGAGAAAAAAATAAGATTCTTCAAGCTTTCTTTCGCCGATTCTCGGAGTTCCGTCGGTCGGAATTCGTCGGGCCAAGAATTAAAGTCGATCTACGCGACGAGAGCTACGCGTGGGTACCAAAAACAAAGATTTTCACCGAAGATTCAAAGGAGGATTTTGGAGAAATCTAAGCTTTGGACTTCAATCTTGTTCTTGAGGCTTCCTACAAATTCTTTACGCTTCAAGAGGTAGGGTTCCTCCTACTCGGACCTATTTCTAACCTAAGGTGTCCATAGGGTTCATGTGGGCTGTTTTGGGTATTTCTAAGATTTTTCCATTATGATTGGTGCTATGGAAATGGGTAGGATCAATTTTAGTGTGAATTGGTAATTAGAAAGTGCTAGTTTGTGATTTCTTGAATGTTTAGATAATTGATTATATAAAAATCATATATTCTGATTTTTATTTTGTTTGAATGATCCATATAAAATCTTGGCTTGATTTGGTATATGGAAATATTTATGTAATCCCTTGAAAATTGGGATCATGTGGGCATGCTTTGTGTTTTATATTATGCCTTGTGAATGAAATGTAATATTAGCATGTATTATGTGTTATCATGTTGATGGAGTGTTGATATATGCTCTTGGATATATTGAACTTGAAATGGTTATGTGATTATATGCAAATGATATTAATTGTCATGGTATACAATGATATTTAAAAATTGTCATTTGGCATGCATTGCAATATGGACATGGAATTAACATCACATTCATGGGCTACATGCATGAGTGTGGGTGTAGGGTTGCATGGGGTGATCAACACCAACATTGGTTCTTGATGGTAGGCTCGGGAAAGTGGGATGGAATGTCCTACGGAGTCGCACGGTGACATGCATAAGAAAACTTGTGTCGGGTATAGCAAGTAGGGCTAGACACTCCCTCGGGTGAAAAACCCGACCACTTGGTTCATACACTTACCGGCGGTGAAATTCCAGAAAAGTGTAACGGCGTACGGAGCCGGAGGTGCGATTCCTGAATCCGATACCCCATAAAGGCACATGATTTTGATATATAAATTATTCATTTGATGGGAAACATCCAAGAATGAATTAGTTTTATGACATATGGTTGATTTCAAAATGATCTTTGGATGTGTTTCATCAAAGACGTTTGTTTTACACGTAAGTGTCGCATTGTGTTGTGGGAGTCGGTGTGGGCTCGGGATAGCATGCATGGGTGAGTTTCATCTCATTACTTGGCATGGCATCATGATTTTCCAACATTGTATTATATGTTATTGTTGGAGGGAATACTTGTTGTGAAATGTTGCATTTATACATTGCATATGCATTTTAGGTGATGAGTAGCCTCTGTAGGGATTATTCTACTGGGCATTGGCTCACCCTATACGGGAAACATTTCAGGTGTGGGTCATGCACCAATGGACGGCTCACAATCCGGGTCACATGGTTGAAGAAAAGTCGACTTGTGGCTTCCAATCCATTTTTTTTTTGTAAAAGTAGATTTGTAATTAAATTTTGGCATGTAATGTGTAAAGGAATTGTAATAGAGTATATATGGACTGTTTTAATATAACCTTGCATATTTTGATATAAATATGATGATTGGACCCGGTGTGGTCAAGTTTTATGTATAAAATGGACCCTGTGTGGTTATGGTATTATATTGGACCTCGGATGGGTCATGTAAATGTTGATTGCACAGATTGTGTTTTGGGGTAGAGCTTCCCGTACAAAGGAGACTCTGCCCGATTTCGTTAAATTATGGATCCTGGTAAATGGGACACAACGGTGCGATATCGAGTTATACGGTATCCACGGGCATTCCATGAGTTGATGGGAAATTAACGGACCCCATGAATTTGGGTGTCACAACTAGTCCATTAGTACTAGTGTTGTAAGTATTTTATTTCATGTATTGTAATTTCTTTATCTTGAGAATATAAAGAAATTTTAGTAACCTTTTTATAATTAATATATATATAAGAGAAAAAATTTTAATGTTAGTCAAACTCTTAATGTATATATAGATATAGATAAATATAAGAGAAAAAAGATTTTAATGTTAGTCAAACTCCTAAAATTTAAGAGTTTTTAATTTTTAGTTTTATTTTACTTTTAATGGGAAGGGATAGTATGGTAAAATTAAAAAAAAACGAATTTCATAACAAATAAGTTTCTTTGACGGACTTAAAACTAAACAAATTCATATAGGGACCGGCCTAAAAAAAATTTCATCCATTTGGACTAAAAATAATTTTAATTTGTTTTTAAAAGTTCAACAAGAAATGAACTTGTTGCCTCCGTCCAATGAGATTGCGAAGCGCACAAGCCCAGCTCAGTCAACAGTTTCTGACTTTTTTCTCAGGGCGGCTTCTTGATCCGCTACAAAATTGGAGAAATGGGCCTGATGTGGAAATGGAAGGCTAACGCCTTGGCCAAGGCCCAATACTCAAAACTTTCAAAAAAATAGAGAATTGGGGCATTCCGAGAATTGAACTCGGGACCTCTCGCACCCTAAGCGAGAATCATGCCACTAGACCAAATGCCCTTTGCGTTCATGCACTTTGTATTGAGTAATTATACTAGTTTGTGTCATAAGTTGTGTCGTAAGAGTTGCTATATGATCTTATGCTAAAATTTCGTATTTTTAGTATGAGAATCTAATTTGGGATCTAACTTTTAGTCGTTAGATTAAAAGTGAGTTTAATCTAATATTAAAGTTCATAACTAATCCAACAAATAAATTAAATTAAATCCCCAAATTAAGTCCATTTAATATTAATCGTTTAACTTATTGAGATAGTATTGACTTGTACAAGGACACATTACACTTCAAGGATTCCCCATGCTATACTCAAAATGTTAAAAGACTATGATTTGATGGTTACAAAAATGTTATGCAAGGAAGTTAATAAAATGCATGTGATGTTCAGTAATAATATATATATACATATATATGACAAATAATGTTTGACATGTTACATTTGTGGGTAAATTTAAGGTGGGACATTCGGATGTTTGTGTAGTGGTAGTGTCCATATGTAGTATGAACAAACTAGTCATTAAACATGTGAAAGATGAGGAGGAGAGGGGTTCCATGACTCATAACCACATCTGCCACAGCCTCAGGACCACCCACTTGCTGTTTTGTATTCTTTTGCCTCCATTTATTCTCTTCAATTCCACCACCCCCACAACCCACAACCCACAAATCATATATTAAATTAATTAGTATCGTTTTGTCTTCAAACAGCCACCTCTCTCTCTCTCTCTCTCTCCCCCCACAACCATGGCAACTAACTATGCTATATGTCTTCTAGGAGCCATGGATCGTCTTTGGTTTCACCAAATTATTCTTTTCTCAGAACCCTCTTCTCTACTTTTCCCAAAACCCCCCAAAGAAACCGTTTCTACCCCTCAACCACTTGCCTATTCATCATCAAGCAACTCTAAACCAACCATAGTAATTCGAGACAAAGAAATCCCATCAGTTACATCCGCAATCCTCCTTCCTGATCAGGTAATGCAAAACAATCCTCTCTCTCTCTCTCACACACACACATGTATACATTTTTTGTTCGATTGATTGAATTATACTTCTCCCTTAACAAGGGTGACCACAACATTGAAGATAGGGAGGACAGTAAGGAAAGACCCACGAGGTTGAGTGACTTCACTGACTTGAGTCCCATCACTAGTAAAACTCGCTCTAGTTCATCATCACCATCAACTCAAAAACGATCTAGAAAATTCAGACACTCAGGTGCAGTGACGAGGTTGCAGAAAACCATGAGCTGCAAGAGCTTGTGGGAGCTTGAACTCGAAGAAGTTCATGGTTTCATGGATTTAGGGTTCATATTCAAGAAAGAGAATATTACTTCAAGGATGATGAGCGTAGTCCCCGGCTTGCAAAGACTCGGAGGGATCAAAGATGAACAAAAAACCCTCGACATCGATGGTAACGAAGCGGATAATTATGATGACATTGAAGAGGAAGAAGAAGAAGAAGATGGAGAGGAGAGAGGCGTAATGAGGCCATATTTATCAGAGGCATGGCTTATCAGGAGACCTGATTCGCCACTGCTAAACTTCAGAATACCAAGAGTCACTACAGCTGCAGAGATGAAGAAACATATTAGGTATTGGGCAAGAACTGTTGCGTCTGTAATTCAGCAAGAATCTTAAAACCTAGTTCTTGGAGAGAGAGAGAGAACCACACATTTTGATGGAATGTAATCTATTCCACCCACAACTTGCAACTGTAAAAAAATGAGTTAGTTGTACAGTAAATGAGTTTTTTTAACATATATACAGTCAATTATCTCTGTCGCTGTTTCACTTGTAAGAGTATCTCCGACGATATTAGTTATTTTAGCTACCAAAAAATAATTTTTTCTATTTTAGCTATTAATTTTTTTAATATACACTCTAACAAATTTTTTATATTTTTAATTACTCATTTTAAATATTATTTATCATCCCTTTTGTATTATATTTTTTGGGAATAGTGAAAAGGACAAAGAGAGAGAATGAAATAAATATGAGAAAGAGAGAGAAAATAATATATATAAATGTTTACATATTGCTACAATGACACTCTATATTTAGAGTGTCACTGTAACAAATATACATTTTACATAACACGAACAACATATGTTGGAGATGAAATTTTGCTCCAAAATAGCTAAATTTTAGCTGCTTTGCCCATTTGAAACATTCGTCGGAGATGCACTAAGCATGATAAATATAGATTACACCGAAGAGGAGGCGGACCAGAAATTTGTTTTTTTGTGAATAACTTTATTACATATTTTAATTTTTTTCTCTTTTAATTAATTAACAAAAAGTAATACTATTGAGATCTAATTTATTGACCTAATTTACTGACTTAATTTACTATGATCTTTGGATTAACTATGGAGTCCATCAAACATTGAAATTTGTTGTTGATCCAATGGTTTCAATGCAACTACATCATTAGGTCACTAAATTATGTCAAATTTTTTAAGTCGAAATAGCATTAGTCATTAACAAATTTATATAATCATAGCTTGTTTAATACATGAAATACGTTGAATATAAAAGGGCCAAAAAAAATTTATGTAGATTATGCATGAATAAAAAATAACTAATTGTCATTATTCCCATTTTAGTAATTAAAAGTTTGTCTTTCACTTACCAACCACTAAATTTATTTAATAAACTATTTTTTAAACATTATCATTGAGATATTAGAATAGTAAAGCCTCTAAACAAAATTTTAGTAACTAAACACATCAAAAAATTTGAAAATCAAGTGACATATAATAAACACCACAATAATAGTCGAATAAAAATAGAGACGAGCTATCACAAAAGCCAATTGAAGATCAATTGAAAGTACTTTTACTTTCAAATTAACAAACTAAAATTAAAATTCATAAATATAAATATAAATATTAAGGTCACCTGTAAAAAGCCATAAGATAATAAGAAATACCAATCAATTGAAGTAAAAAAGCTAGAGGGCAGGCACAAGTAAAAATATTTGTATATATTAGTTATTGCCTGTATTTGAAGGTACACAGTAATAAAAAAAAATATTCAATAACAAATATATTTGTATTTACACCTAAATTCAAATCCCAAATATAGAAGAGATAAAAAAGAATTTCAACACCGGTTGCATTGGGGTGAGCGGTGATAGTAGTGGTGGGTGGCGATGATGATGGTGACAGCCGTGGATAATAAACAATGATAGTGGTGGTGGTTTTTAGATGACGATAGTGGTAGTGATAATCATGGACGATGGTGGTGATGGTGGTGGGGTGTGGGTGGTGGTTGGAGATGATGATGGTGGTTGGTAGTGGTGGTGATGGGGTGACAACAGTGGCGGTGGGGGATGGGCAATAGTGGTGAGCGATGACAGAGGTGGTGGTAGGTGTGGTGGGGGTGAAATGGTGGGACACTGGTGGTAGTTGTGGGGCCTATGGAGGTGATGGTGGGACAATGGCAGTGGTGATAATTTGGCGGCCGCAATGGCGATGTTTATGGTGGTGGTGGGGTGGCGGCGATGCTGGTTGTAGTGGGGGTGGTGGTGTGGCGGCAATGCTGGTTGTAATGGGGGTGGTGGTAGTGGTGATAGGGCTGTGAAGGTCGTGGTGGCAGTAGGATGGCAACAGTTATGATGGCGACAACAGTGGTGAGGCGATGGTAGTTGTTGTTGTAGCAGAGATGGTATTGGTGGTAGTGGTGATGGTGGTGGAGGGGATGGTGGGGCAATGGAAAGGGTGGTGGTGGTAATAGGGTGGTGGCAGTGGAGGTAGTGGTGGTAAAATAGTGACAAGGGTGGAGGTTGGGTAGTGGTGGTGGTGGTGGTGGTGGGGCGATGAGTGTGGTGGTGGTAGTGGTAATTGTAGCAGAAGTGATGATGGGGTGACGGCAGTAGTGAGGGCGGTGGGAGTGATGGTGACAGTGGTTATGAAACAATTCTAAATATTATTTTTTATTTAAAATACTTTTGGGAAATTATAATTTCAAAAAAAAGGCAAATTAACCTATGCCCACATTCCCCACCTCAGATAGACCTCATCCTGATCAAGGACACTGTCAACAAAATACTACTGACCGACATGGATTACGTATCCACAATGAACTCTCTGCCATCACCGGATTGGCATCTAGTACCTCCATTTCTGTCATCTCCCTCACCACCTTTTTTGAGCAGAATGACACTAGACTTCTAACATATTTGCATTTAGAGCCACATTATTATTTTGCATTGAATAATAGATATTAAGAAGTTGACGTGACTCTCAATGAGCACCATTGATTTTTGTCGAACTTTGTTTTTTTTTTTATGGTTCAAAGTAAGAAAGGGGAGAGGCAATCAGTAGGTGAGGGTTTTTCCCGCTGTATAATGTCCAATTTTATGAGAAAAAATCAAAACTGGTAAACAATTTCAGGGGAAAAGTAAGTAACATACCAAAGTTTATTATAATTGTGGATAATTAACGAGTCTTTAGTCCAATCGTACTTCTTACCTTGTGATGATTTTACCTTCTTTCTCTTACTAGATATCTTACTTATCAGGAGATCAAAGAATGCACTAAAAGTACATCTAAATCGGGCAAATCACACAACAGATGGATAACCTTTACATATTGCACGAATAAAAGAAAATGTATAAACCAGTGGTAGTTTGCAAACTGAACCATACTTCTTACTTGACTTAATGGCACTAGGCATCCCCTGCAGCTGGAATTATGACTAATTAACCTATCCACATAAAATGATTGGCCAAACTATGAAAATGTCTTTACCAGCCTGTACAGGTTATTGGGAGCGCCTGTTGTCCAAAAACATTTTTGAAAAGTCACCACAAACATATCTTTAGAGACTAATTTTTTCTATTAAATTTGAGATGTTAATATTAGTGTTCAGATTAACTTTAAAGTAAAATTCAAAGAGATCTCAACCGCGAAAAGAAAAAATTATTTTGTTTATCTTTTGAGATTTATTATATTATATTATATTATACATATATATATACACACACATATATAATTTTAAAAAAAAAAAAATTGAAGGTGGGCTTGTGGTCACCCTTGCCCCTGTATAGATTTGTCCATATCAATGAAAATATTCACCTTTCTGAGTGCCACTTTTTCTCTCTTTCTACCAAAGCTTTACCTCTTAAATCTTATAATTACTAAAACAATCCATGAATACAAAATGTAAAAATTAAATTTACTGGGTATATAAAACAATCCATCAATATATAATATCACATGATTGTAATTTGTACATGGATTGTACATTTGGCCAAAAAAATAAAAGAAGATGGATCCTACATAACAAGAATAATTTTTGAAAATAAAGATTATCTAAAATAAGAATGACAAGACACAATTATCCTCTATGCAAAATAAAAAAATTCCATGTTTGCGGATAAGATGGGTCCACATCTTCTAGTTGTGCAAGGATAACATTTAGTGGCTGCTATTTTCCCCAACACCATAATTCCATGTTCATTTTGTCAATGTGTGCTAAAGGTACCATTTCCTTTCACTTTGTGTGAGAACCTTTGTTCTGTGGAACATGAAAACGAAAGGGCAACCAAGCCATAAGCTGCAAAGTGGTCCATAAGATTCATATAGACCTTGCAAAAATTGTATAATTTGGTCTGTAATGATGTACAAAAATAGATTTATATATTAATGATGCATAAATTAGTTTTGCACATTACTTGTTAAGTAATTAATGCAAATAATAAAATATAAAGAGAAAATTTAACGCAACTAACACACAATTTAAGTGATTCGGTCAAGGTGACCTACTCCACTATGAAGAGCTAGTATGACCTGGGTGTTTTATTAGTTTTGGTGTAAGAAAATCATGTGAGAGCAATGAAAGCTCAGGGAAGAGAAATGAGAGTTCAAGTGAGATACAAGCTATGAGAGATATGAGAATGATGCCATATGTGAGAGATTGTGTGAGGTGCACCCCATGTGTAGGTGGGGCTTTCATTTTATAGTCGTCCCTAACATATTGATGCGGCTTAATAGTAACTAATAGGCTAATTTGTTGGAGGTGGCGTCATCCTCACAACGAATGAGGCTATTGTGGGGCTCTCATCAAGACTAGGTCATAGGATGGTGGGGTTTACTTCCTTATTCCTTACTCCTTACTCTAAGTTGGTGTGGATGAGGCTCTTGGGATGACGCTGCCTACTCCTTGATGACGTGGCTCTTGGAGCCTTCATGAGCCTAACTAGGAGTGGATCTCTTTTAGGTTTGACCCATTGGGTTTCATATAGGTGGATCTTTTATTCAAGTTGGGCCCACAACCTGAATTGGGTCTTGGTTCGGGCCCATCATACACAATCAAATCAATCGACTATGATGTAGAGCAATTAATCAAGTAATCAATAATAAGAGATAAATATTGAGTTGTTGGATGTGGGTGACCCTAAAGGCAAGTAATGGTGGTCGAAGAACTCTATTAATGAGAAAGTGCAATGTAGTTGGAAAGAGAGAAAGAGAGAACAAGAGGATGCTCAAGGTGAGGTGTGTGAGAGCTCTGCCCCCATGTGTAGATGGATTTATAATTTATAGGCACAGAGTTCTAGTTGAAGCGATGTCATGAAGGTCAATGTACTAGTTTATCAAGGAAGATAGCTACAATTAGGGATAGACATTATCTTGTAGTCATGGTTATCCCAATAATTGCTCTCCCACTTGCATTAACTCTTTCTCGACTCTTAAGCTTTGGACTAGACTGAGGTCATAAGCTAAGTTTGGTCTGTCTTTTGTTGGTTTGGACTTAACCCATGAACTGGGCCCAGACCTG